TAATTCGTTTAGTGTTTAGTAGTTGTTATTTTATTTAGTTACGTGTCTTTTATCACATTATATTATTATTATTGTTGTTGTTGTTGTTGTTGTTGTTGTTGTTGTTGTCGTCGTCGTCGTCGTCGTCGTCGTCGTCGTCGTCGTCGTCGTCGTCGTTGATATTATTATAATTGTTGTTATTTCCAACTAAATTATTTCTAGACGGCAAGACGAAGACAGTTATAATTAATGGCTAAGCAACGTGAAAAATTCCTGTTTTAGTCATGAATAGGATTTTTTTATCAATTACGACGTGAAGTATGTTAAAGATGGACTTATGTTCGTTTTTATCATTTGAGTGTATCGACCAATTACTGGGCTGTCAGGTGTGTGTGTGTGTGTGTGCGTGACGAGGAACTATATGAACTATGATTAAAGGTACACCGAGGGTAATTACACCTGTGAGTCACCTGGCAAGACGTCACCATAATTTCATGAATATATCAACATATATCAACCATAAGATTTATAGTGAATTTATCTCTGATTCTCATTCATTCATAAATCAGAGTAAGTACCATTCCAAGTTAAATTATGAAGATTATCATCATAAAGCTCGCGGATCCCTCGATGAGAAAGGGAAATGTGAAGAATTTAAGATTTATTTTGTTTTAATGAAAATATTACAGCTGTTACAGACATGAAACGAGGAATAATTCTTGAACTAAATTGATAAGTATATATAATGGACAGTGTCTGTTTGTTTTATTTTCTGTCCATCGATGTACAGCTTCTGTTTTGAGGATAGAGAGCTGAGACTTGGCCAAGACACGCACATATACCCCAGAGGTGTTCAGAAAGTGAAATCTTGATGACTTGACCAAGGGGTGAGAGTGTCAGAAGTCCCTCACAGTCAACACCCTTAACCAACCTGAGAGAAGTAGGAATCATCCAGCTAAAATTTATTGCCAAGTTTGTTTTAGAAAAATACTCTAACTTTAATATGCTGTAATATTCAAAATGAAAATTGAGTAAACAGGTGAGAAAAATCTAAGTTACTTCTTAAAGGAAACATTAAGCTGTTTTAAAAGTTAAAGAGTTACTTGGCGTCGGTGACACATGTAAACATTTTCTCCCCAGCTGCTGTTGTCACACGGTACTGCCCCTCACTCTGTTGGCTGTCAGTACTACCAGCGTAAATTGCCTCCCTGTCTGTAGGTGAATTACATTACCTCTCTACTGTGAAATATTCCTACTTTTATAATATTTTATATGAGAGTCCAGTGTCTCTGTTTTTTTTTCCTGAGGGTGTTCTTAATCTTATATATATATATATATATATATATATATATATATATATATATATATATATATATATATATATATATATATATATATATATATATATATATATATATATAGTTTCATAGAATGCTTAACCTAGTTTTACCTAATTTAAGCTGGCCTATCTTAACCTAACCTACTCAAGCCTAACTTAACCTAATCTAACCTAACCTAACTTAATCTAACCTACTTTAGGTATAATTTTACTATTTTGCAATGGTAAACGACGTCATAAATGAAACATAAATTTTTTTAACACAATACGAATTAATTTCCATTAAGTTGTGGAAATGAAAACAAAAGTTCTCTTTATTTGGCAAAAAACGTACACTTATATCCGTCCCTCCGATCACTATCACCCTCTCGCCTCTCTCCCTCACACTTTCACTCAATTACACACGCAGGAGCACCACCATACTCTCCAATGTTTAAACTAAAAAAACTGAATCCGTGTCAATTTAATTTAATTTGATAAACTCTAGATAAATGCACTAGCAATGAACGGCAGCCAGTGGAGCCCCGGAAATGAAAAAATAAATAAATAAAAAATCACAGTTTGGGTGAAAAAATTTTAAGGCGTCTGGTGCCTGCGTTTCCCTGCCCCTTGTGTGGATTTTTAAGTGTTTGTGCGTATCTATAAGTGTTTGTGAGCATCAATAGGTGTTTGTACGTGTTTTTATATGTTTGTGTGGGTTTGTATAGGTTAGGTTAGCTTAGGTTAGGTTAGTTTAGGTTAAAATATATTCCTCGAATACCTTATATACTGTGCACCTATTCATACCAACCATCGTTACCAAAGACTAATGACTATCCATCCGTCCCACTGTTAAATTATCACTAGACCTTTGTTTACTGTACATCCCGGTGGACAGGTTACACTTTATTACCCCCCCCCCTCCTCCCTCCAGTATAAACATGTCACTGATAAACTGACAAACAGACATAAGCTGTTTGTCTACATTAGCTTGAATTAAAGTTCGTGTGAGATTTTATATGGCTGTGTGGGTTAGGTTAGGTTAGGTTAGGTTAGGACTTCTTGTCTTTTACTCAGATTATAGGTCAAGGTAATCCTGATCACGCTCTGGTTAAGTAGTATCTGTGATTGAAATATTGAACTTTTTTTTAATTAATTGACCTAATAGTCCTTGGGCTACACTGGGCTCGTGAACCAGGGATTGTGACTCAGATATAGTGTCCTGATGCCACAGATCACAAAAGTTGGGGTAAGACAAGTTTATCCCTCTGTATCGGTCTAGATATACATGAACCATTTTTTTTTTATGAAGAGCTGGCGGGTATATGGCTGCGGTGCTCTAGTACTGACGGATATTGGATATCAATCACATATTGCTTTCTCGATGGGAATTCGATCTCGCTGTGTGAATTGTCAGCCCAGTACGATAACCACTCTGCCACCATACCTCATGCTGTAAAAAATTTACCGAGGTTTTTATAACAGAATGTACTGCTGGAATTCTGCTTATGTGGACATGAATGCCTTGCCATAAACACGGTGTTTTCGGTCATTTTTTTTATAATATTTAGTGTTTTTTCGCGAGCTTTAAAACAGTTTATTGGTTCATACAGTATAGTGTGTTAAGTGCCTTGTAGATGTATTCACCACGTTAGTTAAATACTGTACTATGTTTGGGCCACAGTCTTGAGAGCTGGGCAGACACACACACACAAGCTTGGATTGTCAAAGGACCTTCACCACTGGCTTGTGTTGTCAGTAAACTTGTGCCTTCGATCTGGTTAGGTTACTCGTGGTATTCACTGTTGTGGCTAGCCAGCTCTTTTTTGTTTTGATAATTAATACTGTTTATTGGTGAGATTTATGATCCTATGTTCTATTTAATTGCAATTGAGTGTGAGTGTTTTGTAAATATCGTTATAAATATTATTTAACTATATATATTATCCAAGCCAGTATTTTATTATAAAAAGGGATTTTCATACAATCAGAGTTCCCAATATCGTAGTTGGGGTTCTTCTCAATACACAAATATTAATGACCATTCATAGTAATTTACGTTAAATTCTGTCATTTTATGTTGACTACGAGCCTTACCCCTTTCACCATAAACAATACACAAGAACTAACAATACACAAGAACTAACAAACAGTAACACAGAGTCATACACCTAGCCAACACACGCGTCATTACCAAATAAAATTCTCCTTCCCACGCGTTCACCAACACTCGCCAACCCTCCACAATAATTCCAGTACTCCTATATAAACACACACACACACACAGACTCTTGATGCGCACCAACTGCAAGAAAATTTCTGCACAGTGACAGTAGCTCTTCCTCCTCCACCGTAATTCACCGGATACACCTGAGCGAATGGATATACAGAGCTTGGTGGAACGTAAGTATTTACCTGGAAAGGATAGTGGCCATCATAACAGTTGGTTGTAGCTTCGGCTTAACACCTTTACAGCTCGTTGGTGTTAGTCCATAATTTCAGGTGTCGTGTGGTGGTGTTTTGTTGATCAATGGGCGTTAGCTAGTGAGGCAGTGTTGGATGATGTGCTGGCGGATGGGATGAGGATAGATTACATACAAAGATGGATGAATAGGTTGAGAAATGGATAGTGTCTTTGATAGTTGGCGCTCTGTTTTACGAACTGGAATATATTGATACGTGACTCAAAAACCTTGCCTGAATTCCGGATTTTATTGACTGTGGTCTGGGTGTTTGAATACGATGAGAACTATTTGTAGTGGTCAAGTTTCTCAGCCGACTCGCTTAAAAAAATGATAATGAGTTCCTTTAATTGTCGTTATGTTTAATTAATCATTTAGTTTTGTTTTCTATATCAGGTCAACACATTTCATTGAATTGATAAGGGATTGATTAATGTATGACTACGTTTTTTTTATCAAACTGTACTACCATAAAAACATCACATCACATGGTAGTTAGTTAATCAGTGAGTGCACTAAATAAAGATAATCAAAAAGTAAAGTGCATTAAGTTAACAATATAAATACACCAAAATAAATTGTAAACAAACAACTATGCAAAATAAACGTGACAAATATAACATAACCCAATGACCACAACTTACTGCGCTGTCATCAGAATGAACACGACCTGAAGGATAGCTGTGAGACGACTGGTCAGAGGTCGGCTTGGTTTGGGTTTCTGCCGCTAGGGATATCCAAACTCCTGACAGCAGCTTGAAATATTTACGTCGCTTGTCCGAGTATCGTTGGTGGAGTTTATAATGGTTAACTGGCACAGGACCAAATAAGGGTGTAAATAGGTAGAGATTGTTTAGAGGGTTCGCCCTTAAGGCCTGATTTCGTGTTTATATATATATTCTAGAAGGACAATAACACGAGAGAAGTTAGAAGAATTTTCATTGTATTTGATGACCTTGACATACCAGTGCCTTAAATGACACCTTAAATGAAAAATCTTTTAGAGATGACCTCACTATGGCTCTCTGACAACAGAACCAATAACACTAACAAATATATTTCAGTATATTTCCCCGACATAATAACCAGAGACCCTAATAGTTATTTCTTGTATACCATATGAGGGGTGTGTATTGAAGTGGCGTGAATGTCTCTCTCTCTCTCTCTCTCTCTCTCTCTCTCTCTCTCTCTCTCTCTCTCTCTCTCTCTCTCTCTCTCTCTCTCTCTCTCTCTCTCTCTCTCTCTCTCTCTCTCTCTCTCTCTCTCTCTCTCTCTCTCTCCTTTACTCGTATGTTACCCATTTGCAATTTCTATAAACGAAACTAAAGAGATAAAGGAACATTACATCATTATATCTACACATGTTGTTGTTAAGGGAAAATGATCTTGATTTAAGCAGGAAAAAATTACGTAATAAAAATAAGAGGAGATCCTGATTTATATAAAAGAAAAATATAATGTATCAATGTATTAGAATATTTAAAAAAAAATTTCAAAGTTGGTGCAAGTGGCTTCAAATATATATTGTTTACATTGCTTATGTATTCAGCTTCCACCACATAATTCATACATATAGATGACTGAAACAATTAATACGACACAACTATGTATACGACACTTAAAGAACCTCACAGTTTATACATATTAATAAACTCCATTTTTACACAGGTTATACAACTTAGTGTATTTTTTTTTATACAACCTCTGCAATCTAAGACGTGTTACGTTATCATAAATCATACAATTTAACAAACAGTATTTTGATCGCCACAATAACTCTATGTATACTCATTTCTTAACACATTTCATCAACTTTGTGTATTTTTTTACATACAACACAGCCTAATACATGTTTTTTTTATTTGATCTATTATGCCTCGATACACATTTTTTTTGACAGTCTATACACCTTAATACACTTTCCTGACGCAGTTCATACAATTTAATATACTTTATGGACACATTCTATGCAAAATGATATATATACAGTATACAGCGTGTATTTAACTTCGTATAAATACTCTATTGAGCTACAGTGTAAAGACTCAGATGTATACCGATAATAATCATACAAACGAAGGAACATTATCTGTACATAGTTGTGTATTTCCTTAGTAAAATAAATAGGCCGATACACACCGCACTGACATATTATTTCAGATAACGTAGTTTAATATTCTCAAAGATAATATAGTATAATCATTCCTTCCAATCAATTTCTTTGGCTCTAACCAAACCTAACCTAACCCAACGTACCCTGTATTGCATTACTCTGACATTACTTCATTCAATTATAAATCTAGTCATTGATACGACACCTTACAGACAGTGTAGTCAGTCTGCTTTTGACTCAATTTATACAACGTAATAAGTGTACTTTTCTGACACTTTCTATACAACTTAATACAATTTTCCAACATTAGTTTCACATCTGAGAACATTTCAAGTATAACAGACGGTAACTTATTTGTTCGGCCGCTGATGTTGACAACCTGGGGTAATATTTTTTCTAGAGGGTGGGGGAGAATTATTGATAAATCCTTATGGTAAAAGAACAATTAAAAACAGAAGGAACAAACAGAAAATAATAGAGAGAAATATTCAAAATTTAAGATAAAATCAAGAAATACATTAATATTATCACTGGATATTTTAGGTAAACAGAGATAAAAAGAATAAATAAATACCTAGAAAGAGAAGTAAATAAATAGATGAATAGAAATAAATAGAGGGATAACAAATGAAAACGATAAACGAAATAAATCAACAGATAGACAGATAAAGACAAAGAGAGAGAGAGAGAGGGAGAGAGGGGGAGGAGTGGGTGGAAGGTCATGGAGGAAGAATCTTAATCAGCGTCAGGACTGAGTGAAACAGATGAGAGGAACTTCTACTAGCCGAGCCAAGATGACAGATAGTAAACAATGGATAGAGACAGGCGCGTAGACTTAGACAGACAGACAGACAAATAGACAGAGATAATGATAAAGAAGTGAATTAAGATCCCGATTTTTTTTTTTATACTTTCGTACGATGAATAATTGTATTAATACTTATAGACTAAAGTTTAAGAATGTATTGAAATTAAATAAAGAA